ATTCAGAAGACTGTTTCCCTGGCACAGAGTCTTTGGGGATGGAAGGGAGATAACACTGACCTCAGATCCACTGTGGGGCTCACAAGTCAGTGGCTGCAGAGACAGAGCATGGGGAGAGGAGGGCTGGGGCTCTGTGACATCTCTTTGAGGCACCGGTGGTGTCTACACATTGCTCACAAAGCATCATTAGCATGAAGCAAAGGCTTCTGGGGAGATGGGTCAACAAGGATTAGGACCCATGATGCCCCTAATATCAGGTCAATGAGAGCCTCAGGCTCTCCCCACTTTGTCTCTGGTCCTGCCCCCTCACAAAGACAATATCGATGGCATTTCTAGGGGACAAGTTCCATTTACTCTTGTCCTCATCTTCCTGGAAGGTCAGTTTTTTCTTTTCCATATCTGAAACAAAGACACCACACCACACCCCCCAGACACTCAGAGAGCATCATAGGCTCCCCACTTTCCCACCTTCTAGGCCAAACTCCTGCTGCCCTAAGTCAGCTATTGGCTATGTGTGTCCTGTGGGGCTGAGAGTGGAGGAATGGACATGGAGAACAGGAATGGTAGGAGTTGAGCTCAGAGGACCCCAAAGCTGTCTGTCTGAGCAGAGGTAGAATTGTGTAAAAGTATGGCATTCTGCAGGAGGAGGAGAAACTATTTTAAAAGAACTATTTCCTGTTTGGGTATTTTGGCCAAAGAGATTAAATGTAGATGTTTAGGGGCAGATTTGTAAATGGAAATGAGGTGTTCAATTAACTTAATGAAGAGCTTATCTTGCTGAAAAGAGATTCTTAAACTCAGTGTAAGAGACAAAAGCCCCTTCTCCTTTGTGTCCATACTCCAGGGAATAGTTAAGGCTGGCTTTTTATTGTGTAGCTTGATAAAAATGTCAAAGGCCCAGCTGTTGTATAAAACAGTATGATGTCACTCTCCTCCAAGTGTATACATCAAAATCGGTTTTTTATATCTAACCTTTTTAAAACTTGCCTTGCAGAAGGAACCTCATTAAACTTATAGGTGATGATTTCATACTTATTGGAAGCCAGCACCCTCTCATTTTTTGTTGTTTCTATCCCTCTTATTTTTCCATCTCTTAGAAAACTATAAAGGTAACTAGTTGAAAACGTCATTTAGTTGTCTGGGTGTGCATTCTAGGAATATCTAGAGTCTGGGTAAACTGTCAGAAGTGTCTGAAAAGTTATTCAATTGTGTTTCTTTTTGTGAACACAAAATGATTTTTTTTTACTATATTTCTAAGGTAATAAGAAAAGGTTTTAGCTCCAAGGTAGAATCTTGGGCTTGACTCTGCCTTTAAAATTTACCATATACAAACAATGTCAGTATGGTTTTGCTTTAAACAAGGCCATGGTTAAAGTTCTCATCATCCAGACTTTCTAAGTTATCTATTATTGGTTTTATGATGTAGGTTATGCTGTTTCCAATCATATTTAAATATAAAAATTACATATGAAATTATATTCAACTAAATACAATCATGAGAATAGCTCATTTGGGGGTATCATAGGGTCTTGAGATTTTGCTTCATGTGCATGTCATCTACTGCTTATTTTTTCTTTTATTTTATTGTTATTCAAGTACAGTTGTCTCCATTTTCACCCCACCACACCCCCTGCCTCACCCATCCCTGTCTCCCACCCTTGAACCTACCCCCATTGGCTTTGTCCGTGGATCCTTTAAATATGTTCCTTGACAACCCTTCCCCTTCTTTCCCCCATTATCCCTCTCCCCCACCTGCTCTGTTTATTGTCAGTTTGTTCTTTATTTCAGTGTCTCTGGTTCTATTTTGCTTGCTTGTTTGTTTTGTTGATTAGGTTCCACTTAGAGGTTAGATCACATGGCATTTGTCTTTACTGCTGATTATTGACAGGACTCTTCTCAGTATGACCTCCCTTACCTTTCTGTTTTGACTCCCTATAGTCTTCTACCACTTAAGAAAAACAAAACAAAACAAAACTCTTGTGTTTTTCTTCAATCTTAACTGCTGCTATAAATTTAACTGGTTCTTAACAAAATAACACTTCTTTGATCACTTAAGAAGACAGATTTTCTTCTATAGGTCCCTTCTGGGTCTTAAGTTTCCCTCACATAATTCCAAAGTTAAGTCATTAAAAAGTGAGCCTTCACCCCACTTTAGCAAGATGTTTCTGCTGAGGTTGTTGTAACCTTGTCAACAAAACCTAGCCCACAGAGAGTGGGAGCCGACATTGGGGCTCTTCCAGCCATAAGAGTCCGTCTGTTCTTGCTTTGCAGGAACCATTTGACTCCCCTCATGGAACGTGCCCACCTCAAGGGACAAAACACTGGCTCACTCCTATTGAGCCAGACAGTACCTCTTCTCCCAGTACCACCTGTGACCCACTAGGGGATTATTCTTATGTGGCTATCAGGCTTACATTCACCTGCCAGCATACTAACTGGCCCCCAGTGTATTCAGGACAGCTGTTAGAGACTTTCAGATGCTTCAAATTACCACCCTGTACAGGGCCACGTTTCCCTGAAAGGCATACTCAGAAACTGCCAAAAGATGCAAGCATAGAGCACTCCATGCACACTCAGAGCTATAGTTTCCATAGTAGGAATCAATACAACTGAGAAAGGTAACCCAAACTTGTCTCTGCCCTAGCAAATGTCACAAACAACAGGTACTTCTGTTCTAGAAATCCAGCAGATTAGTTTGAACTTCATTAGCCAGAGTTGGCTAATCATGGATAGTCACACATCCCTGAATTTCTTCTCAGGTAGTCGAAAAGAAAGTTATATTATAGCAAGCATGTCTTGCTATCCCTATGCCAATACCACAGAGCAAGTGGGAGTAAGTGGATTCAGGAACATGTTTTTATTGTCTGAGTTTTATATCTGGGTCCCTTGGTTTTGAGACCTGTTAGAAGGACTAGTTACCATTTTTTTAGAGAGATTGCCTGTGTTGCAGTTGGTGGATGTATTCTTCCCAGAGTCTTTGGTGCTACTGTGCAGCCATTATCAAGTTACAGGGGCCAACAATTCATCTCACAACAAAGTAAGCCAAGACTGACACCTAGTCCAACTATACACTGCATTCGGTGGACACCCTCCTAATCCTGATCAGTAAAAATTCAGCAGTGAGCAAGATCTGGTTGTCAAAGATTAATGTCCTACAGCTCTGTCTCACTTGGCCAAAAGAGAGTCTTTGATTGGTGAGCACTGGCAAGTGAATTTATGTATTTTCTAGAAAAGGAAACAAAGAGTCATAGAGGGTAAGTAACTTGCCCAACTTCACTGCTATCCTACAGCAAGGCCAGAACTGAAATTCAGGTTGTGAGACCTGGCCTGGGATCTGACAAAAGAGCATTCTATTGAGTTGCCTCTTTCAGCACCAACAGGAGAAGAGAGAAACTTGGGGATCAACAGACTTGCTATGCCAGACATCCCTGCAGCCTGGTTCAGTTCCAAAAACCCAAGAACGTGAGAGAAAGGATCTTCAGGAATCTTCCAGTCTAATCCCACAGGTGACAGATAAGGAAACTTTGTCCCAGAGAAGAAAAGTGACTTGTTCAAGGTCACACAGCTCATCAGTGGCAACATCCAGACTTGAGGGGAGATCACCAGGCCTTGGTACACAGCAGCAGCTGCAGTTCCCCTTCCTGGCTGCCAGGGCTTGTTATTGTGCTCTGCCTGAGGCCCATCCTTTTAGAAAGAAACTTCTGCCTACAGGGTGGCTATTTTTTCCCTTTAAGCCACATGGAATTTCTCTCATGGCATTTTATTAGGTGCATCCTCAAGATTTCTTAAGTGTATAAGACTATCTCATCCACAGAGATGAGTTATGAAAGAATTCAACTCTCCCTGTGGGCATAGTCCTCACACTAAAGGGAGATGAGAAAGCAGCAAATACAACACTCACAGGAGGGCAAGCCGAGTCTGTTGTCTCCTTTTGATCCATCTCAAATCATCCTGAAAAGTGAAATTCCAAGTCTCAGTGTCTATTTATAATCAGATCATCATGCTCCTCCCCTGCTAAAACCCTTTGATTATTCCCTATGCCTTCAAAGGAAAGTCACACACCCTTAACTGATTATCCAAGGCTCCCTGTGCTCTTGTTTAAATCTACCTCTGGTGCTAATGCCCACTCTTTCCTCCTCAGGCACTCAGTCTGCCTCCAGCTGCTCAGATCCAAAGGAAATAACTGCCCCTCCTTCTGACCCCAACATGTTATCCCTCTCTTGACAAATCACTTTCAACCCAAATACATATACTGGGTCTTCTCTTCCCTCAGGGGCAAGCTGTCTATTTTTGTTATCCTCACCTAGCAGAGAGCCCAGCATATGATAGGTCTTAATACATATTGAACAAATGAATTAGTGTTTGCTTTGGAAAGATTACATGTATCCTCCCTCTCCATGTCTAGGGTACACTGGACTGCCACTGAAGAGAAAGGAGATAATGTCTTGAGATTTTCTGAACAGAATGTCATCATAAAGCTCAAATGAGATGGCAAGTTGAAGAAAGTGTGACACTGCTTTATTTGTAGAATTTTTTTTCTCTGAAAGAAGTACACTAAAGAATAAGAAACACATTACATTAGGAGAAGAGAAGATGCTATCGACTATCTTTGTGGTTTGTGTGTACTCTTTCACCAAGATTCATGGCCAGAGAAACAAAAGACCCTCTTTGCTTGCATACTTTTACTCCCTTCCTTTATTGCTTTAAATAGGCAAGATGTAGTTTGCATTCCTTTCACCACTAGTGTTTGTTTCGTGTTCCTGAACAAAAATAACTTGCCCTCACAGGTTGTTCCTAAAGGTTGTTAATATTGCTCTCAAAGGTTGTTAAAGATCCCCTCCCCCTTATGCATTCCACTTATTTGTAGTCAGGGTCCTGAGTGTTGCTAAGGGAGGCTCTCTCCATGCCCTGTCTTCTCTAATGAAATATCCTCTGATACGTAGTCGCGGTCCAGTTACATTAAACACCAGTAATATTGATGTCCTTTTAGCCTTACTATGAGGATCCTAAAGCTGGAAGGATTATCTGTGTGTACAATTGCTCTAGACAAGGATGTGCAGCAATACCCCAGGAGTGTAAAGATCATCCATCACCATCACCACTGGAAGGTAAGAATCGCTCTTACAGTTTACATGTCTTTTTCTGGCTATTCTCCCTCTTAATCAGTAAAAGCATCCAGCAGGATAGCTTACTCTCTAGAGCACAGTCGGAAATGTTAAATGGCTCCTCCTAGAGCACTCAGGCTTGGCAGGGCCAAGATTAAAATGTAAATCCACTGCCTTTGCCTCTACACTGTGGTAAACATCCACTAGTGTTTTATGGAAGTCCAACCTCTTGGCAATGTGGAGAAAAAGCAACTGTAACCTTCCTTGACATTCTAACCTAGCTAGCAATCTTCAGCCCAGAGGAAATCTTCCAACAGTCCAAGGCAGATATGTACACATGCATACCTGTAAATGTACACAATCACCGACCAACCATAACCTTAAATCTGAAGCCAGAAACCAGAAAGAAATTCTCAGGGTAACATTGTTATGATCTGGGTTTGTCTCCATCCTCTGGATGTCTCTGATATTACCATAAAGAAACCCTGAATCCTAGGGCCTTCCTTCTGCTAATTTCACTCTTTGCATACAGAGACTCCAGGAACTTCCACCACTCACCACCTTCTGAAAGGTACTGATCTCTAAACTTGTGCAGTGATTTATGCTTTCCATGTCTTTTCCACTTGCACTAGCTGGGTCTGTCTAACAAATACATTTCTGTGACTTCACTGGCTTCTACCATTTCAGCCCTAAAAGTTGTAGTACTTTTTGATGCTGGTTGTGGCCAGGGAACAGTTGATCCTCACCCCCCACCCCAAGGGTTTTAATTCCTTTGCATGCCCTCTTCTTGGCTTCTGACCCTGCCAGCAGCTCTTCACAGACACTCATTATGATATTGAAACAGACAGTGGGATGAGAAAGAAGGACAAGCCTCAGCTGCCTTCTTGCTTTCGAACTTAGACTGCACATGAGAGGACCTCCTGCTCCAAGACAGGAGCGAGGTGGTATCAGAGGAAAGATGTTCTGCCCAATGAGGTCAGGGCAGGGCCATTGGCAGCTTCTGTTAGTTCCATTGGGGCAGACCAGTTGGCAGTTGGCAGTTGGCAGTTAGTTCTGAATCTGAGCTGAAAATGCTGGGATGGATTTTCAAGTGGTCCTTACATCATGAACATAGTTTGTGCTCAGGGGAGGAGAATAGCAGGGAGAAGAGATATTCACAAGTAATGCCATAACCTCTGGTTAGTTTTGGGTTTCCATATGCTTCCCAAACACTTTAGCCAAAGTGCTAAGCAACCCAACTTTCCATCTCTTTGCCATTTCTTCACAGTAGTGGTTCTTGTTGATAAAGCAGTAGCTGAAAAGTGGGAAAGATAAAGGGTTAAAAACTGTCCCGGCTAATCCACAAAAAGCTTTGTTGGAATTAGGTTATGATCTCTGAATCTCAGCTAGGTTTGTGGGTTCTGCCCTTGCTAACTTATTGGCTCAAGAATTGGTAGAGGAGGTATTTATAAATGCTTGATGCTAGTTGGATGGATAAACAAACAGCTAAATGAAATTTTATCTGAAAAAATTGCCTTTATCAGCACAAAAGGTGAGAATGCCCCAGCATTTCAAGCCACACATGCTGGAAGAATGCCATTCTGTCAGCCCCAGGGAAAAGTGGGCAAGATGAAGCAAGGCCTAAACACGTCCTTGACAGGGAATTTCCCTCCTACTTCTGTTGTTCTCGCTTCCACTGTGGTGCTAAAATTCCCATCATGATCAGTCATCAAAAGAGCAACAGTAGAGGGGAGTCGTGTGAGTTCTTTATATATTTTGGAGACCAAACCCTTGTCTGAGTATCACTGGAACATATGTTTTCCCATATGGGTGGTTCTCTAGGGAGACAAAAAAAAAATTAAAAATGGGCAAAGGACATGAACAGACACTTCTCCAAGCAAGACATACAGAGGGTCCAGAGACATATGGAAAGATGCTCAGCATTGCTAGCCATCAGAGAGATGCAAATTAAAACCACAATGAAATACCACTTCACACCAGTCAGAATGGCCATCATAAATAAAGCAACAAACAATAAGTGCTGGTGAAGTTGTGGAGAAAAGGGAGCCCTAGTGCACTGTTGGTGGGAATGCAGACTGGTGCAGCTGCTGAGGAAAACAATATGGAATTTCCTCAAAAATTAAAAATGGAACTGCCTTTTTACCCAGCAATTCTTTAGGCTAGGATTATAGCCTAAGAACTCTGAAACACCAACCCAAAAGAACCTATGCACCCCAATGTCCATTGCAGCACAATTTACAATAGCCAAGTGCTGGAAGCAACCTAAGTGCCCATTAGTAAATGAATGAATCAAAAAACTATAGTATATTTACACAATGGAATATTAAACAGCAGAAAGATAGAAGGAGCTCCTGCCCTTTGGGACAGTGTGGATAGAACTGGAGAACATTATGCTAAGTGAAATAAACCAGGCAGTTAAACATAAATGCTTTATGATCTCACCTTTAAGTGGAACCTAATCAACAAAACAAATAAGCAAGCAAAATATAAGCAGAGACATTGAAATTAAGAACAAACAGACAATAACCAGAGGGGAGATGGGAAGGGATAATGGGGAAGAAAGGGTAAAGGGTTTTCAGGAACAGCTATTAAGGACACATGGACCAAACCAAAGCGGGGTGGAATCAGGGGAGGGAGGTGGGGATAGATGGGGTGGGGGGAACAGTGAGGGGAAAAGGCAGACAATTGTACTTGAGCAACAATAAAATTTAAAAAATGAAAAAAAAATAGCAACAGCAGGAGATAAAAGAGTCATCCTTTACTGTGGCCACTTACTAGTTTCCTGGAAAACTGGCTTTCTCCCAGCACCTTTGTTCCATGAGCGTAGAGGAGACAGGGTTGGCCTCTGAAATCAGTGAGCCCCAGGGTCCACTTGCTAGACTTGAATCCAGGCTCCCCTTGCTAGATGTGAGACTTTGAGCCAATTACTTAACTTCACTGAACCTTAATTTCCTCAATCTGTAAAATGGGGATAATACTGGGTAAAGCACAGAGCATGATGTTGGGAATATCGGTAGTATGTAAGGATTGTTTTTCTTACCCCTATTCTGTTATTCCTTTCTTTCTCTTCCTCGTCATAACTTCTAACCACATCTTTTCCTGTGAGGAGTCAGAGAGCAGTGAAATTAGGTTTTTAGACAACCAAAGACTTGGTGACAAGAGCAACCACTGCAGCCCCACCAAAGGCCTGGTCTTTGGAAAAGCACAATTATAAGCTGGTGATATCCTAAGCCCACATAGGTTCCTAAGAGTGACAGGAATGTGTGTGTATTCATAAAGAACTGATGACCTTTTAGAAGAAAGCAGGTTTGTTTTATTTTGTTTTCCTCCCAGGACATCTCACATGGCACCTAGATTGCCACGAGCCTGCTGTTGTTGACTCAGTAATGTCACCTGGACAGCTGTGTGCCAGACTGTGTCTAAGCTCTGTGAAGTAGGACTTTAATCATTATTGCCTTAGTCCCCTCATGTATAAAACAAATGGGTTGCACTAGATGCTCCCTAAACACCTTCAAGTTTTTGTTTCCGTTTTTTCTTTACAGTAGGCAGGATTTTATTAGATAGATGATGGGGGCTTCTTGAAATTTGGAATGTATGACTTATAATCAGCTTCATGGGGGAAACTTCCAATGAAGGTTGAGATCCTCCAGATCCTAAGAGTTTTCCTGTATAGGTGAGAAATCCCTCCAGATTCTCAACAGCTGCGTGTGGGTGCGGGGCCAGCCCTTTTCACTTTTCAGCCCTTCCCATCAGTCTCAATGTGGCTTCTTGTGTAAAGCATTGGTTAAAAGTCAGCTAGGCTTCAGCTGGTTATTCAGGATGATTGTTCTATAATATAGCTGTAATTTCAGTTTCCTCCTGGGAAGGAGTGAGTGTAACTACCACTTACTCCACTTGTTTTTTAAATTAAGTACTACCACTGAATCACCTCTCTATTTAGCCATTATGTGCTCTGTGCAAAAGATGATAACATATATGTTCAACATGTTAAAATGTCTGTTTTTCATATCCTACAAATTCAGAGACTATCTAGTCGTATCATGCCTGCTTTTTAGTACTGTGCCTAGCTCATGATTGGTGCTCAATAAATATTTGTTCAATTAATATGTAATATACTCCTGAAAGTGTGCAAAGTGTGGCTGTTTGTGATCATTGTTAATATAGATTTCAACAATTATATTCAATTAATTATAGATGTATACAATTATTTGTTAATGTATACAATTATTACTCTATATACAGTAATTTATAGACTTAAAGCTAATATAGACTTAAACAATTTTATTCACAGCATAAGTAGGATAATCTCTGTGTTTTGTTTTTAATTTGGCATTCTTGAAGTAAATCCCCTAAGAGAAAGAAGTTACAGATGGTAAATATGGTTTGTGGTAGAATTGAAATTATAATCCTGGCTTCTCCAGCACTGTACTTTAACAAACTGACTCACTAGCTCTGGAGGGCTAACAAGAACTCCTGAGCTACACAAGTCATGTTGCCTTTCCAGTATGCAAACACAATGGCATCAGTGTCCTTTGGACATGAGGAAGGAATTGTGGGGAGTATGGAAGCCAGGTCAGGTAAGGCCAGAGGGAAACTAAAGCCTCTTTGCCTCCATTTCACTTTTCTTGGCAGGAGAAGGACAAGGTGAGGATCTCAGCCACCTCTGCCCTGGCCCACATATTATGGCGAATTAGAAATTGCAAGCGTGGATCTGCCCTCCAAAAAAGAGATCAACGGCTTCTTAGTCCCGCTGTTGCTCAGCTTGCAGGACAACAACACTGATGTAGTCAAGGTACCGGCCTCCTCTGTCCTGCCAGCCTCGGCCTGATTCAACCTCTCCTGCTAGAGGATAGCGCCTTCTCTTTAGTCCTCTTTCATGAGCCAAGTCTGGGGTCTGCATTCACTGTCCACCTCCTTGGTCCCATCCTCTGGGCTGGATCTGAGCACTTTTACCCTCTCTTGGGTGCCATCACTCTTATCCTGATATGGTTCTGCCCCCCTGAAGCTGTTTATGTCCCTTCACATGGACAAGGCCCCATATTTCACCTGATCCCTGCTACTACTTCCAACCAAACCCCTTGGGGACTACCTTCATGGTCTCCCACTTAGCCTCTGGCCTGGCTCTGCAGAGTCATAAGAGTAAGGCTTTGAGGATTTCCTTGTTTCCATCCCACAGGCCTGTGGAAGGGCCCTGACTGAATGGACCAAAGTGATGGGCTGGCTGAGATTGACACACCTGTTCCAAGATACCAATCTCAATGATCACATCCATGTGCTGGAAGAAACATGCAAGTACCTGGTGAGTGAGAGTCTCTGAGGAAGCCAGACCACAGTATTCACATTAGGGACTCAGTGACAGGCCTAGTGAGTAAAGAGGAGAGAAGACATCATTTTTCCTTTCCTTGATTCTCATGGTTTATCATCAGGTAACTCTCACAACCCACATTTGGGATGCCAGCCCTGGTCCTCCATATCTGACTCTCCTAGCATCCCAATCTCTGCCTTCAGAGTCTAAGGACGTCATGCAAGGGGAGCAGATGGCAGTGGGATAGAGGCCTTCTGTTTAGAGGTGGCAAGAAATGATAGAGGCAGGAGTCCTCAGGGCTTTAGATCAGTCATCAGGGTGCTGAGGATCTGTGGCTTCTGTGACTTCAGGAGTCCTTGTTGGAAAGTAAACATGTAAGGGCTAAGCAAATCAGTTGGTATCTAACATTAGTAATTTCAATGTTATGAATTTGTGTTCCTTATATACATAGAGCACTGTAGAGTTTACAAAGCACTTCTACATGCATTGTCCCATGGGAGCCTTGCAGTCATGCAAGGGAGGTCTGGCAGGTTTTGTTTCAACTCCACAGATGAGAAACTGAAGCCAGTGTGAGGGCCAGTATTCAAACCTGGGTCTCCTGACTCCACATCAGTTGTTTCCTCCCCTGTCATGTTGGTATCGAGGAGCAGAACTCTCCTTATGAACTTTCTGCTGAGTCCGCTCTTTGCCTGGCAGTGGGAGTGTCTGAGTGTGCGGGTTCAAATGATTTAAGCTGACTGAAGACAGAAAACAATGCTGCTTCTGGACAGGGTGAGAGAGGCATGGCTGCAAGCAGGTCTGTAGTCGAGTTCCTAGCAGACCTCTTCCCCAGTCGTCACCAATCCTCTTTGACTCCACAGGTGAGCACACGAAAAACTCAGTTCTTGGGGGATGTACTGCTCCAGAGCTTTGAGTTTCTAAGGAGCACTCAGCCCTTCCTACGAGCAGCTGCAGTCACCTTCATAGGTAAGGCAGTCCCTCCTGTCAATTCCTTCCTCCCCTATAGCAAGAAAGCCCTCCTTGACTTTTTGCCAAAGGGTGAAGCCAGAACCATGATATGATGAAGCTGGTCACATCCTTTTCCAGCTCTGACCTGGTTAGAGAGGTTGACCTCAAATTGTGTGTCAGAAAGTTTGGGGAAGCTCTCTGCCTTCCTCCTGGCTGTGTGCACATCTACCCACGAGGCATGCTGTTTTGTGAGAAGAGAACTATATACATTTGGCAGGGAAAAACTGTTGCTCCAACTAGAACCCCACTGAGTTTCCCAAATAGTTTTGTTTTAAACTGTTCTACAGTAACAATATGCATTAATGCTAGAAAGCATAAAATATTCAGATTGGCTGAAAGGAGACAATAAATAATGCTAGAAATGCCATCATTTGGATTTAACTAGTACTAACATCCTAGAATTTTTTAAAACAAAATATGCGACACACACACAAAGCACTTTTAAAAAATAAAATCTTTGGGTCCTGGCAGGGTGGCTAAGTTGGTTGGAGCATTGTCTTGTACACCAAAAGTTTGCAGGTTTGATTCCCGGTCAGGACACATACCTGGGTTGTGACTTCAATCCCAGGTTGTGCTGCATGCAAGGCAACCAATTGGTGTTTCTTACACTAATGTCTGTCTGTCTTTCTGTCTCTCTCATTCTCTCTCAGATCAATAAGCAAAGATCTGGGTGAGGATTTAAAAAAACACAAACATTGCTACACATCTGTATTACCAATACATGCATTAGATACTCTTCAACATTACTTTTAATGACTACATAATATTAATTCTATTGCACAAATGGATTTATGGAACCAATCCTTATTTCTGAATATTGAGACTGTGTCATTTTTTGTTTTCATGGGCAAGAACATAGTGGTTAAATGTCTGAATGTCATCATGATTATTTTGTTAAGATAAATTTCTGAAAAGTAGCATTGCTGGGCCAAAAGGGTATGCACAGTTTTAAGGACTTTGGTGCTCATTGCCAAACTTCATTCTACACAGTCAGATCATTTGTTATTGTCAGCAGTACTGTATGTGAGTATCCTTTCTCCAGACATTTGCCCACCCTGGGTAGTATGTTTTAAAATTATTACCAATTTGATAGGTAAAAACAAGCAGCTTATTGTTTTGATTAATATTTATTTATCAGTAATCAGGTTAAATAATGTTTGCAGCATATATATTGTCAATATGTTTTTACTTTTGTGCATTAATTGCCTGTGCCTGCAACTTTCTAAGGATGTGGGAACTCCCTGAAGATTAACATCCTTGGCTCATGCTCCACTTGTCACTTGCTGACAATATTTTTCCTGCATCACAACTGTTCTTTCCCTAGCACACTGACATGCAGGAAGCAAGGCATCTCTTAGGTACATTCCTTGCTACAAGTGGCTTACAGGTTTCCTTGTTCCCTAGTGAGTCTGGGGAAAAGGGGAGTGGCCCAAAGATCCAGGAATTCTGGGAGGAATTTTATATCTCTTCTGTCCTTAGCATCAATCACTGTGAAGATAAACCTGAAGGCCATACGTGAGGATGATGTGCAGCTCTTACAAAATAGTGAGTCTGGGCCTTTTTCCGGGGTTCTGGGTTACACCAGGAGGTGGGGCAAGACAGGAAGGAGGAAAGGGGAATTCCTTAAGGATATGTGTTATTATTTTAAGTCAAGTTTCTTTTTACCAATATAAATATTATATATGAAGGCTTCAGTGGACAGAAGTAAGAGGAAGGGAACAAATGATCCATCATTGGACTCCGTGGATAAAAACCCTGCTAACAAAATGTTCCAGTTGTTACAGAACAATACAAGGGAGGCCTGGGACGATATATTATTACTGAGAGAAACCCCCAAGTCTGTTATGTCTGCCGTCTATAGGAAAGATGTCTCTCAATGCCAGAGATTCATGAAAAGGAAAGGCAATGTTTATTTAATGCTATACAAACTTAAAGTAGTGACGTAATGTCTTCATCAAAAATCTTAAAGTCCCTTAAAACACCCACAAACAGACACAGTCCTTCTTTTCCCCTTTGCCCAGTCTGGGGTACTGTATCTCAGGAAGGAAATAGAAGTCCATGGCTCAGGCAGTCCCTGGTTCTTCCGAGTACTCCATGCTAGGCTGGTAGGCCTCCCTTCGGTTCCTGGCACCCTCAGCTGTGTTGCCAGGATCTCTGCTAAAGCCGGGTGGTGGTTCCTCTTCTAACGCTGTGAGGGTCCCCACTCTGGCAAAGGCACGTGGTCCTCTTCCCCAGGGCCACGGGAGTCCCCACTCAGCCAAAACCGCATGCTTCTCCCTCCTCAATGGCTGCCGTGTCTGGGTTTAAATCCCCACGCCAATCTTCCTCTGCAGCCCCATTTCTGACTCCTCCCACATTTGGCCACACTTGCCGTCAGTCTACAGTCCTTTACAGCTTTACAGGGCTGCCATTGTAGGTCTGGGCAGGTGTAGCCCCATGTCATGGAGCCAATCTTCTCCGAGCTCCCACACAGGTGCTGTAACTTGGGGGACTTGCCCCCCAGTCACATCTTGGGGGTGTCCCTTTCCATCCCCCTGGCCCAGAGCATGGCCATAGCTATTTAGCATATCTAAACGACCAGCGAAAGGCTATAGGTATGTTAAATGACCATGCCATGGATTAGCTGGAAAGTTGCCCTGCATGTTCTTGCTCTGTATGCCCCTTCCCCCAACTCATACCTTTGGGGGAAGGGGTGAAGACATCTTAAAATCTCCTGAACACGAGTTCTGTACCCCATTTCAAATGCCCATTGGCAGTCCCCCCTCTTGGCTGCACCCTGTAACAGTCACTGCACCTTTATCACGTGCTCCAGGTGCTGACACTGCAGTGGTGTGTGAGGAGGACAAGGTCATTGCCACCTGAAAAGCTTGCAGTTTGGTGTCCTTTTTAACTGCATTAAAACATTTTAAAATTAATTTAAGTGTAGGAGAAATTCATGAGTATAGTCTCATTGCAAAAAAAGAGATTGATAAATGTATGAAATTCTATTTCATTCCCAACTCTTGTTCTTCCCCCCTCCCCCTGTGTGTTTGCTGTATAGTCCTATATTATTTTCTTGTTTATACATAGAATAAATAGATATATGATTTATATATTTGTGATATAAAATATGTGATATATATAAATGACTTCTGCAACTTTCCTATAACCCTTGATACATTAATATTTAACTTGTTTCCAATTTTTTGCTATTCAGACAAGCTACCCTGAACACTCTTATATATGCCCCCTTATATATAGGCTTAAGTGTTGCTTCAAACTGAATACAAAAAAGTAGACTTTTATCATACATATTGAACTCAACAAAATTTAAAGTAAAACAACATTTTAATCTTCTCTTCTGTGTTGACATAAACACCAGTCACTACCCCTCCCAACTTATAGGCTTTTGTTAGCCAATGTCTGAGTTCTCTTTTTGTAACCCATAATTTAGATGCTGTAGTTATTATTGTTATTTTTTTCTGAATGAGTCCAGTTTATTTATTAAGTGCAGTCTCCCTGCTCCTGTTTCTACTGTGTGTGACCTTGGTCTCATTTCCTCTTGCTTCAATCTTGATAGTGTTCCATCAGTTTTCCTTATTTTGCATCTGATTTCCAATTTTCCATTGAAGTCCACTGTGTAAACAGCAAGTTCAAGTTCCTCCTTTCCTCAACTACACTGTTAATCTAGCCTGGCCTTTATCACCCCCTATTTTACACAAGCCTTTTAGATTCACAGTTACATGCTGACCATTCTTTCTGTGTCTCTGACCATCTTCAATTACACCTTTTAGAAGTTCCTTTAGTGCTAGTGTCTTGACAGTACACTCTCTTGGATTTTGTTTGTTTGTAATAATTTCTTCTTACCCTCATTCTTGCAAGATAGCTTTGCTAGTGACATGATTCTAGACCAATTATTGTCTCTCAGCACTTTGACCATATTCCACTATTATTTTCTGGCTTTTTTTGTTGCTAATTAGAAGCCTTCTATTCTTTTGTTCACTTATAGGTAATCTGTCCTTTTCCTCAGGCTGTTTAATATTTTTCTTTTCTTTTTTAAAAAGTGTTCTT